TATCTTTTCTGACTATAATGGTATGAAACTAGAAATCAATTATGAAAAAAAAAATCAGAAAAAAACCCCATAAATACATTGAGGCTTAAAAAGCATGATACCAAAAAATGAATGGGTCTACCAAGATCAAAGAGGGAAAACAAAATAGAGACCAATGAAAATGAAGACACAGCAGTCCAAAACCTTTTGATACAACAAAAGGAATTCTAAGATCAATGTTTATGGGAACTAGGCCTACCTTAAGAAACCAGAAAAATCTGAAATAACCCAACCTTGTATCTAAAGGGTCTAGAAAAAGAAGAAGAGACAAAAAAAGAAGAACTAGACAAAGCTAGTAGAAAGAAAGGAATAATGAAAATTATAGTATACATAAGTGAAATAGAGGCTAGACAAACCAATAGTAAAGATCGATGAAACAAAGATCTGGCTCTTTGTAAAGATCAACAAAGTTAAACAAAAACAAAAACAAACAAACAAAGTTGATAAACCTTTAGTCAGACTCATCAAAAAAAAAGAGAGAACTCAAATGAACTTAGAAGTGAAGGTGGAAAAATAATACCACCACAGCAATACAAAAAACTAAAGGTGAATGTTATGAAAAATTATAGGACAAACTGAAAAACCTAAAAGAACTAGGTAAATTTCTACTAAAATATCATCATCTAAAAGTGAATCAGGAAGAAATAGAAAATTTGAACAGAGTGATTACTAGCAATGAAATTGAATCAGTAATTTAAAATGCCCAACAAACAAAAGCTCAGGACAAGATGGCTATATAGGTGAATTCTACCAAACATTTAAAGAGTTAATGACTATTTTTCTGAAAGTATTCAGGAAGCAGAAGAAGGAGGAGGAGGAAAACTTCCAAGTTCATTCATTCTCTAATGCTGGTAAGGACAGCATTACCCTGATAACAAAACCAGACAAAGTGCAAAATCAAACAAACAAACAACTACAGGCCAATATCTCTGATGAACATAGATGTAAAATCTTCAATAAAATATTAGCAAATGGGGGCACCTGGGTGTCTCAGTTTGGTTAAACATCTGTCTTCAGCTCAGGTCATGATCCGAGAGTCCTGGGATGGAGCCCTGTGTCAGGCTCCCTAATCATCAGGGAGTCTGCTTCTCCCTCTCCCTCTTTCTCTCCCTCTGCTGGTTCTTTCTCTCTCTCTCACTCTCTCACTTGGTCTCTGTCTTTCTTAAATAAATAAATCTGTAATTAAAAAAAAATTAGCAAACAGAATTTGACAACACATTACAAAGTCACTCCCCACAATAAATTGAGATTTATTCCAGGGAAGAAAGACTAGTTCAATATTTGCAAATAAATCAGTATAATACATCATATTATCCAAAGAAAGGATAAAAACCATATGATCGTCTCAAAAAACTCTTAGTCAAGTTAGGTTTAGAGGGAAGATAATTCCACATAGTAAAGGCCATATGTGAAAATCCCTGAACTAACATCATACTCATGAAAAAATGACAGCTTTTCCCCTAAGATCAAGAACAAAACAAGGATGTCGATCCACCACTTCTATTCAGCATGATACTAGAAATCCCAGTTGCAGCAATCAGACAAGAAAAATAAAAGGCATAAAAATTGATAAGGAAGAAGTAAAACTTTCACTATTTACACATGACATGATACTATATATGGAAAATCCTAAAGACTCCATCAAAACAACAACAAAACTCAACTATTTGAACTGATAAAGGAATTCAGAAAATTTGCAGGATACAAAAATATATACAGAAATCCATTGCATTTCTATACACTAATAACAAAGAAGCAGAAAGAGAAATTAAGAAAACAGTCCCATTTACAATTTCACTAAAAGGAATTAAACACCTTGGAATAAACTTAAAGTGAAAAACCTGTACTCTGAAAACTGTAAAACTTTGATGAAAGACATTGATGATGACACAAATACATGGAAAGATATTCATGCTCATAGAAGAACTGGTACTTTAAAACTGTGTGTACTACCCAGAGCCCTCTACAGTGTCAATGCAATCCCTATCAAATGCTAATGGCATTTGCCATAGAAATAAAACAAGGGATTTTTAAATTTGTAAGGAACAACAAAAGATCCCAAACAGCCAAAGCAATCTTGAGGAAGAACAAAGCTGAAAGTATCACCTTCCCAGATTTCAAGATATACTACACAGCTGTAGTAATCAAAACAGTATGGTACTGGCACAAAAATAGACACGTGGATAAATCAAAAAGAATAGAGAATCCAGAAATAAGCCTGTCCTTATATGGCCAATTAATCTACAACAAAGGACGCAAGAATATACAATGGGGAAAAGACAGCCTCTTCAATAAATGGTGTTGGGAAAACTGGATAGCTACATGCAAAAGAATGAAACTAGACCACTTGCATATACCATACACAAAAATAAACTCAAAATGGATTAAAGACCTAAATGTGAGACCTGAAACCATAAAATTCCTAGAAGAGAACATAGGTAATAATTTCCTTGACATTGGCCATAGAAACATTTTTTTAGATATGTGTCCTTAGGCAACAGACAGAAAAACGTAAACTATTGAGACTACACCGAAATAAAAAGCTTTTGCACTATTAAAAAGGGAACCTACTGAACGGGAGAAGATACTTGCAAATGATATATACAATAGGGGTTAATATCTAAAATATATAAAGAACTTATACAATATCAAAAAAACAGCACGATCAAAAAAAAAAAAATGGGCAGAGGACCTATGTAGACGTCTTCCAAAGAAGACCTACAGATGGCCAACAGACACATGAAAAGATGTTCAACATCACTAATCATCAGGGAAATGCAAATCAAAACCATAATTAGATATTTATTATCTGACACCTGTCAGAATGGCTAGAATAAAAAAGACAAAAAATAACAAGTATTGGTGAGGATGTGGAGAAAAAAAAACCTTGTGCACTGTTAGTGGAAATGAAAATTAGTGCAACCAGTCTGAAAAACAGTATGGAGTTTCCTCAAAAAATTAAAAACAGAAATACCATATGACTCTGTAATTCCACCACTGGATATTTACTCAAGGAAGATAATAGTAATTTGAAAAGATATATGCACTCCTATGTTTATTTCAGCATTATTTACAATAGCCAATATATGGAAGCAACTTATGTGTCCATTGTAAAATGCATGTATAAAGAAGGTGTGGTGTATTTACACACACACATAATGGAGTATTACCCATAAAAAACAATGAAATCTTGCCATTTGCAACAACACTTCTAAGACCTAGAGAGTATAATGCTAAGTTAAATAAATCAGAGAAAGGCAAAACCAACGATTTCACTCATATGTGAAATCTAAGAATTAAGAGAAATGAACAAAGAGACAGACTCTGAAATTCAGAGAACAGGTGGTTGCCATAAAGTGGGTGGGGGAATGGGTGAACTAAAGGGGATTGAGAGTATAAACATCCAGTTATAAAATAAGTAGGTCACAGAGATGAAAAGTACATAGAGCACATAGTCAATAAGATTATAATAACGTTTGGTGACAGATGGTGATTATACTCATGGTAAGCACTGAGTAATGTATAGAATTCTTGAATCATTATTTTGTACACCTGAAACTAATATAATGCTATATGTTAACTGTACTTAAATTTAAAAAATCTAGAATCTAGAGAAGCTAAGATTTGAACTCAAGTCTTGTGATGCTACAGACCTCATATCTAATCACTATACAAGAGAACCTATATTCTTGACTTGTGCTAAGAGGTGAAACACTATGGATATAGTATCTTTACTCCACATTTAGAAGTAAGGTATTCTGAGGACTGTTTGTATTTTATTTCATTTATATATAACTTGGACTTTTTTGGTTTATGAAAAGGGAGTTGGGCAGGAGAAAATGATCTATAAACTTCTCAGCCCTGTTAATGTAGGCATGAGCTTTAGTTTGACTTTTCACATGGGCAACCATTTCTTTATCTTTCTGCCTACCTGTCAGTCACTTTCATGATGAAGACAAGAGGAGCTGTTATTTACACCAGGCATATTTTTAAACATAAGCTACGTTGGCTGAGGGAGTATTTGATCTTTTTGAGTAAGTCCATTTTAGGCTCATATTGCCTCTCTGCTTTTTCAATTTTCAGTGAACTCTAGTGGAATAAATGCAAAGAAACAAAAGGTATTTAATGAAGGATACTAGTAAAGATATGAGTTCAAGTTGAGTTTTATGGTATCTTATTTCTAAGGAGAGAGATCTGGGAAATTTGTGAATCATGTATTTGATATTCTCTCTCTATATATATATATATAAATATAATATATAATTAATATATATTTATAGTTTTAATTTTAAAATTTCAGAAAATAAATTATTTGCCATCATTTTAAAAATAAATTATAAAATATGTATGCTTTTACATTATAAATGGTTATATAAGTTAACTTACAAAAAAGTAAAACATAACTACCCAATAAAAAGTGCTTTTAACATTTTGTTGGATTTTCTTCAATCTTTTTAGCTTTACATCTGAATAATACATTGGTTATATCCATAATATATACAACTTTATATCTTTCTAAATATGCTATTATAAATAGGTTCTCATGTTGTTATATAATTTTCATGCTATAGTAAATACATATCTTCATAATAATCTATTGAATAGATTAATTATAATTTCCTAAACTTTTCATTTTCTATTGAACATTTAGGTTAACAATTTCTTTTACTGCTGTCATTGATGCTGTGAAAAACATCTTTGGACGATAGCCTTGGACTACTTCTTGGGTAGTAAATTACTTGGGCAAAAAAATTTGTATATTTTTAGTGTTAATAATACATAACATCACAATATTTCTGCAAAGGTACTATATAGTTTAGAATGCCAGCAGTAGTTATAAGTAGTGCCACTTCTACAACATTCTTACCATTATTTTATATAAGATGTTTTTAAAATGCACTTAATTTTTGAAAAAGTATAAACTGGCACCTCATCATATTCCTTTTGTGTTTCCCATTTAGAGTGAAGAAGGAGGTCCACAGGAAGGAATTCTGGAAGATATGCCAGTTGATCCTGACAATGAAGCATATGAAATGCCTTCTGAGGTAAAATTTTATATACCTTCAACTCTGAAAATAAACTTCAGGAGTTCAAGTTGAGTCTTTTTAATAAACAGTACCAAAAATCTGTCACTGTCAGATTTTCCTTCCATTTGTCCTTACTGAAAGTGATTTACTCTCTAGAGGGACAAATTGGACAAATCCAGACTATATATTGTGTGGACAACTTGAAAGCTAATTTGTAAAGCATTGTTTAAAAAAAAAAAGGCACAACGGAGATGCTCTGTGGTTAATACAATCTAACATATTACTTAATGACCCTTTACAAAAAGTGTTTGCTGATCCCTTAATAAGGTTTTATTAAAAACCTTTCTTTCTAAAATAAATCCCCAAATGGAAAGTTGGAGAAATCAACTCAATACCTAAATTCATTATTATTTGCCATACATTTCCAGCAAGATATTTGCATGGTAAAATAAAAACTACCCAAATTTAAATTATTTAATTAATTTATTATTAATTAAATTAATTAAATTAAATTATTAAATTATAATTTTAAAATTGTAGAGTAGAAATATGATAAATGCATGGTTTGCAGTAACTGATGTACTCCAATCCAGCCTTTTGATGATTAATTTAATTTGAAAATAAGTTTCTTTAATAGAAAATATATCTTAAGGAAAATTTAAAAATACTTTTAGATGAATGAAGCTGACTTAAGAAGAAATAGAAAATCTGAATAGACATATAATAAAGTAAAGAGACTAGATTATTGTTAAAAAAAAAAAAAAATCTACCCACAAAGAAAATTTTGTGGACCAGGCAACTTCACTGATGAATTCTGCCAAAGATTTAAGGAATAATTAATAACTATTAACACAATTAATACTAATTAATTTCTTTTCCAAAAAAAGAGGAAAGATTACTTGCCAACTATTTCCATGAGGATGGTATTCCCTAATACCAGCACCAGACATCACAAAGAAGATATATTATTCATTAAAAATTAAGTTAAGGGGCGCCTGGGTGGCTCAACGGGTTAAAGCCTCTGCCTTCGGCTCACGTCATGATCCCAGGGTCCTGGAATCGAGCCCCGCATTGGGCTGTCTGCTCGTCGGGGGGCCTGCTTCCTCCTCTCTCTCTTCCTGCCTTTCTGCCTACTTGTGATCTCTGTCAAATAAATAAATAAAATCTTAAAAAAAAAATTAAGTTAAAATGTCTTCCAGTTAGTTTATATATTATTCTTTATGGCATAGTTAAAGGCATATTGATAATCCCATTTATAGAAATTGAGATTAAATTGTTTCTTAGATTTTACCAAAATTTTTTAATCTTTTTATGCATAGCACAATACTAAATACTATAGAAAATACCAGAAGATTAATTGATAGTGCCAGAACAAAAGGAGTTTACATTCTAATAGGTTTGATAAAAACAAATACAAATGAAAATTTATTCCTTCATTTATTCGTGATGATTCCTTTAAACATTATTGACTGTCTTCTATGTATCAGGCATCACAGAGGCAAAATTATTCAAGATACACAAAAAAGTATATTTTACAGAATCTGGTTAAAGTGATCATGAGTTTTATAGATGAGTTAGTGTTGATCTGTGTGGGAGGGATGGGAGATATGCTATGCCAAAATGGAAAGAAGACATTCTAGCAGAAGGTACTATCAGAAGCAAAGGCATTGCATATCTAAACATACATAAGGCTATGTCTGAGGAACAGTAGATAATTAAATAGGATTTGTGGTTAGGGAACAGAGAGACTAGTGACAGATTAAGGCTGCAGAGATGGGTCAAAGACAAGTTATAGAATACTAGAAGAACATTTCCATTTAAGTCTGTACTATATTCAGAAAGCAACTTTAATTATTGAAGGTACTTTTGTTCATTTTAAAGCAGGATCCCAATTAGAGTTGTTTTTTAGGACTAATTTGACCACTTTAGTTAAGATCTTTAATATTTTTATTTATTTAATATTTTATTGTGAATGCTATCCATATATTGTATGGAGAGAGGGGGATTTAGAATAAAAATAATAATTGAAGCCACAGATGAAGAAGATATTTTTATTGAGAGAGCAAAAGGAGAGAAAATGTCTTTGTCTCCTTTTAAAAATTAGAGGATCTTAGCCCTGGAAGAGGGTTTTTAAATCACTGGATTTGGCTCTCAAAATGTACAGCTGAGGAAATGGGAGCAAGATAGACCAACTAACTTGCCCTGCAGGACTAGAACATATGACTGTTAAATGTCATCTGGAAGTAAAATTCAGATACCTGAACTCTGAGCAGCATAATTCACTTTTATATTTGACAGGAAGACAAAAATATTAAAAATGAAATTATATTGTGTATAACTGAATGGTTGTAGAGCTATTATGAGTATAACCTTCATTCAAAGTGATGAGCTATGTCCTATATCATTCACCCTAAATCCTTCATTACAGATGACTCAAACTAATAATACTGCCTGTTTTCTTTCTGATTTTCTTCATATTAGGAAGGGTATCAAGACTATGAACCTGAAGCCTAAGAAATACTTTTGCTCCCAGTTTCTTGAGACCTACTGACAGATGTTCCATCCTGTACAAGTACTCAGTTCCAACATGCCCAGTCATGACATTTTCTCAAAGTTTTTACAGTGTATTTTAAACTCTTCCATCAGCAGTAATTGAAGTTATCTGTACCTGCCCATACGCAGCATTTCAGTGCTTCCCTCTCACTGAAGTGATTATATGGCAGCAGGGTCCTTGTGTGCTGTGTGGATATTGTGGCTTCAAATCTAAAATGTTAAATTAAAACACCTAAGTGACTACCACTTATTTCTAAATCTTCACTATTTTTTGTTGCTGTTATTGAGAGGTTGTGATTTACTATCATATAAGATTTCTAGGTGTCTTTTAATGATTATTTCTGTTTAAAAATAATGTGTTGTGAAATTTGTTAATATATATAATACTTAAAAACATGTGAGCATGAAACTATGCACCTATAAATATTAACTATGAAATTTTACTGTTTTGTGATGTGTTTTATTAACTTCTGTTTATATATAAATGGTGAAAATTAAAATGTTATCTCATTACAAAAATATTTTTAATCTCACTTTAATAATAAATGCTTGTACAATACAAACTGAGAACTGACACAATTAAAGTTCTTGACAGCCATTTGAAGGAGAAGGAATTTTAGAAGAATTAAACAGACAAGATGGAACATTAACTCTTTACTCTAAATTCACTGAAGAAACACTACCCAAAGTATGTTCTGACATGTAGTGGTATCTTAAGAGACCATACAGAAAAAAAATGGGTTCCATGGAATAATAAGAATTGATTTTGACTATGTCTACTTCAAGTATTGATAAAACATATTAGCTCATTAAGGCTCAAAGAGAATCCAATTAACTTTGTTAACTCAGCATTTTATTATTTTTAAAATCAAATCCCCCTATCCATCACCCTTGGAAATGCCTTTAAAAATTTCTGGGAACTACCAAACCATTACCTTAAGAAATGTTAATTTAAATGGATGCATTCCCAGAAATAGATCTTTCAAAACTGAATCAGGAAGAAATAGAAAATTTGAAAAAAAAAAAATTATTACCAGCAATGAAATTGAATAGTAATCAAAATATCCCAACAAACAAAAGTCCAGGATCAGATAACTTGACAGAGGGATTCTACCAAATATTTAAAGAAGATCTAATAACTGTTCTTCTCAAACTTCCATAAGACAGAAGAGGAAGGAAAGCTTCTAAGTTCATTCTGTGAGGCTAGCATTACCCTCACACAAAAACCAGACAAAGACACTGCAAAAAAAGAAAACTACAGGCCAATATCTCTGATGAAAATAGATGTAAAATCCTCAATACATTATTAGCAAACAGAATTTGCCAATACTTTACAAAAATCATTCACCACAATAAATTGTGATTTATTCAGGGATGCAAGGGTAGTTCAATATCTGCAAATCAATCAATGTGATATATCACATTAATAAGAGATAGGATAACCACATGATCATTTCAATAGATTCAGAAAAAATATTTGATAAAATATAACATCCATTCATGCTAAAAACTCTCTGCAAAGTAGGTCTAAAGGGAACATATTTCAACATAATAAAGGCCCTTTGTGAGAAACCCACAGCTAACATCATACTCAGTTGTGAAAAACTGACAGCTTTTCCCCTAAGATCAAGAACAAAACAAGGATGTTCACCTACCACTTCTATTCAGCATGGTACTGGAAGTCCTAGTGGCAGCAGTTAGACAAGAAAAATAAAAGGCATACATGATAAGGAAGAAGTAAAACTTTCACTCCTTGCAGATGACATGATACTATATATAGAAAATCCTAAAAAATCCACCAAAAAAAAAAAAAAACCCTATTAGGACTGATAAAGCAAAATTATATACGGAAGTCTGTTGCATTTCTATACACTAATAGCAAGTAAAAGAATGAGAAATTGAGAAAACAATCTCATTTGTAAATGCACCAAAAAGAATAAAATACCTAGACATAAATTTAACTGAAGAAATGAAAGACTGTACTCTGAAAACATTAGTCACTGAGGAAAGAAATCAAACATTACACAAGTAAATGGAAAGATATGTTGTGCTTATGAATTGGAAAAATTAATATTGTTAAAATATCCATACTACCCAAAGCCCTCTACAGATTCAATACAATTCCCATCAAAATGCCAGGGACATTTCACAGAACTGGAACAAAGAAGACTTAGGTGATTATGGAACACGAATGACTCTGAATAGTCAAATCAATCTTGAGAAATAAGAACAAACCTGAAAGAATAATGCTCTCTGATTTCAAACTATATTACAAAACTATAATAACAACAACATTATGGTATAGCACAAAAACAGACAAATAGATCAATGGATTAGAATAGACACCCCACAAATAAATCCTTGCTTATATAGTCAATCTATGTGAAAGGAGACAAGAATATATAATGGGGGAAAAAACTGTCTCTTTAAAATATAGTGTTGAGAAAACTGGACCACTATCTTACAACATATACAAAAAGAAATTCAAAATGGACTAAAAACTGGAATGTAAGACCTGAAACCATAAGACTTCTAGAAGTAAAAATAGGCAGTAATTTATTTGACACCAGTCTTGGCAATATATTTTTGGACCACTTTCATCTGCAAGGGCAACAAAGCAAAAATAAATTATTGAGACTACACCAGAATAAAAAGCTTTTGCACAGCGAAGGAAGTTATCAACAAAATAAAAGGCAGCCTACTGAATGGGAGAAGATTTTGCAAATGATATATCTGATAAGGAGCTAATCTCCAAAATTTATAAAGAATTTATGCAATCAAAAAAATGGGCAGAGGACTTGAATAGACATTTTCCAAAGAAGACATATAGATGGCCAACAGACCTGTGAAAAAATGCTCAATGTCACTCATCATCAGGGAAATGTTAATCAAAATCACAAGGAGATATTATCTGACACCTGTCAGAATGGCTAGAATCAAAAAGACAAGAAATAAAAAGTGTTGGTGAGGATGTAAAGAAAAATGAACCTTGTGCACTGTTGGTGAGAATGAAAATTAGTTCAGCCAGTCTGGAAAACAGTATGGAGTTTTTTTTTTTAATTAAAAATAGAAATACCATATGATTTAGTAATTCTACTACTGCATATTTATCCAAAGGGGTAAAAAAAAAAACCACCAATTTAAAAAGATATAAGCACCTCTGTGTTTATTACAGCATTATTTACAATGGTCAAGATCTGGAAGCATTCCAAGTATCCTGATAGATGAATCAATAAAGAAAATGTGGTATATGGAATATTACTCAGGCATAAAAAAGGATGAGATCTTGCCATTTGTGTCAACATGGATGGACCTAGAGGGTATTATACTAAGGGACATAAGAGAAAGACAAATACCATCTGCTTTTACTTATATGTGGAATCTAAAAACAAAAATCAAGCAAATGAAGAAACAACAAAAATACATACTCATAAATACAGAAAACAAACTGGTGGTTGCCAGAGGGGAGGTAGGAAAGGGAATGGGTGAAATAGATAAGAGATTATGAGGTATGAACTTTGAGTTATAAAATAAATAAGTCATGGAGATGGAAAGTACAGCATAGGGAATACAATTAATGGAAAAAATCTTGATTCTTTAGATTTATAAAAACTCATGAATTCTTTTAAATTCTGAATATATGAATCTCAGGATACTATTTTAGGGATGGTTTTCTACTTAGGAAATATTCGCTAACTCTCCATGGGTGTGGCCAGTAAATTTGACGATGAAAACACTACATAAATTAATTGAAAAATTACTTATCTTTTTAACTATTCAGGAGAAAAATAGCAGTTACTTTTTAAAGTCACCGGAAGAAAGTATAATTTTAAGAAGATTCAGAGGTGCTAGGCAGTTTGTATGTAATTGTGAGTAATTTGATGTATATTGGGCATTGGCAAGGAAAGAGAAAGGAATGACTGCAATGACTATAAGCATGATCACCATAGAAACTTTCTTTTTTGTCTAATTGGAAAGGACCACGATGAGTGTTAAACTGTCTGTGTAGTCTTAAACTGGAAAGAAGTGGTAAGTTTCTTGTTTTTTTCAGTACATTAATGAGCATTCCTAGTTAGGAAAACAACTTGGAAAATTAAAATATCCTTGTTCAAAAACTATTCTAGTACTAATACACACCAGCGGTGGTTATCTTGTGCCAAGCACTTAAACAAAAAGTTGTGTAAGGCACACACGCCTTTTCAGGAAGTTATCTCATATTCACGCTGCTGAGACATCCACCAGACAGGTAGCATGAGTGTCAGTCTGGATCTAGGTTTACTTGCAGATATCATTCCCTCAAGTTTGAGTTATTCAGCCTCATATGACTCCATGGGAGCCTTAACAAAACAGGTCACGGTGGTCTTTGGAACCCAAATGGCAACATAACAATCTAATATGCGGTTTGGTCTTATAAGCTAGATTTTCAAAATTTCTCCCCTAGACGAGGAGCAATGTTTACTCATCTTTCTGCCTTATGTAGTAGGCAGCTATTGGATTAAACACACATTCTCTCTCTCTCTCTCTCTCTCTCTCTCTCACACACACACACACACACACACACACACACATGCATACACACATATCCCTCAAGGGCAACCATTAATTCTCAGAGATAGTGCTGTCTGTATCCATACTGAGGAAAAAAAAAAAATTTCTAACTGCAAACTCTATAGACTCCTCTTCCATTATACTGATAATACTCTGTTTTTATCTGAGTCGAGTCATCTCACTGTATTCTTTTTGTCTTGGGCAGGAGTGCAACAGGGATGGCATTTCCTTGTGAGCTCTGTCCCCGACATTGGAAGATAAAATATATTTTTTATTACTGTGTCAAATATAGATATGTGACTTAACAATATTAGCTCATTTAATTCTCAAAACAACCTTAAGAAGTTCCATTATTATCTTCATTTTATACTTGAACAAATTGAGGTTCCTGTGGACTAAGTAAAGTAACTTTCTTATAGCCACATGGCTAGTAAGTGGCAGAGCCAGGAGTCGCAATTAATATACAGCCAGAGTCAGTGTTCCCCGCTAGCCCCTATTGTCTCTCAAAGTGAGGACATACAGCTATATAAGAGAACTTTGCAGAAGTTTAGGGAATGGTGTAGTAGCCTACTTTTTCTACATATAATTATTAGAATATTCTTTTTTTTCAGATGTCTATGTCTAGAATAATTGAAACTCAGATATATGGAGACATATTTCTTTTTTTTAAAGATTTTATTTATTTATTTACAGACAGAGATCACAAGTAGGCAGAGAGGCAGGCAGAGAGAGAAGGGGAAGCAGGCTCCCTGTTGAGCAGAAAGCCCGACGCGGGGCTCGATCCCAGGACCCTGGGATCATGACCTGAGCCCAAGGCAGAGGCTTTAACCCACTGAGCCACCCAGGTGCCCCTGGAGACATATTTCTAATTCTAGGAGAAATTAGCCAGCTCTGA